CAAAAGCACTGCAGGATCTTGCAATGAGAATTTTTCAATAGGAAAAACAATGCAATTATGTTCCATAAACACATAAGTATTTGTTGAAATGAACATCAATTATTTCCCTTTTTTACTGTTGATGTAGAACATTCAGAAGTTTTACATGATTTACCAACAAATAAAATTTTATATCATTTATTTTATTTGTATCTTTGTCATAGATTTCAAAATATACTCAGAAAAAAATTTCGGTTATCTGAGCTTTTGGTTTTTAGAACTTTAATACAGCTATTGCGTTGCATCCAAGGACTTATAGTGATTGTCTTGTGGGTACTACAATTATAATTGTCCTTATAGAATTAAAAAGCAGCTCTCACAAGAACCCATGCTAAATTATTAGCACTTAGCACAAAAGGAGAATAGGCTACTGACAGATAGTGTGTTCTTTAGTTTGGTGTTAGGATAAAGACCTCCATCAGTAAGTATTGCTGTACTTTACAAAGTAATTACAACATCAGGGAGAATTCCTGAGCTTTGGGTTTTGATCACAGATGAGCAAAAATGTTCACACTCAGGAATATCTGCTTTACTTATTAAATAAGGCTGAAAAGCAATAGGTGATCAATAAATGATAGCTATTTGTAAAGTGGTTCTTGATAATAAGTGATTGTGTGTGTGTGTGTGTGTGTGTGTGTGTGTGTGTGTGTGTGTGTGTGTGTGTTGGTGGAACTAAAAAAGTATGAAGCATTGCTCTCTGCCAGAGTACAATTGCTTAGATGTCCGCTCCATAAAAATGGCCGTTCAAGATTTCCACTCTCTGGTTGACTGCTATGTGTACTGGTTTGTACAAAAGTTAATTTGCATTGGTGTAGGGCCTTATTCAGGTATTCAAAATCTATTTCTGAGTTTCTGAACTCACATTTGTACTTGTGGTCATCAAAGAAAAAGGGAACTGTTTACTAAGAATTGGAAGAAATATACTACCATTAAACACCTGATTTTCTAAATCTGGGTTTCTCAACATTGGCACTATTGAAAATTTAGTCTAGAAAATTCTTTGTTGTTGGGGCTGTCCTATGTATTGTAGGACATTTAGCAGAATCCCTGTCTTCTACCTACTAGATGTCAGCAGCATTCTCTCAGTTGTGACAACCAAAAATGTCTCCAGGCATTTTCAAATGTTCTCTGTGAGGCAGAAGCACCACTACCATCATTGCCCTTCTGCCCAATTGAGAACTACTGGGTTAAATTAATAATAGCCATTGATTTAAAATTTGGTTAGTTGGTTGATTTCATTTCCTATTTTTACTACTCTATGGATCAGAAGTTTTGTGGAATCCAAATTAAATACTCTTTCTAGACATAATTAGGGGAGGTTATTATACTTCTAAAAATCTACTGAAATGATTGTGATTTGCTTTTGCTATTTAATTTTGTTATTTAATTAGAATTATTTGTTATTTAATTAAAATTAAATTCTTATATTTGGCATTAAATGGTAATCAAGGGCTGTAAATTTTACATGAACAAATTTATTACTTTTCCTTACAACCCCCCCCCCCCCCAAATGCTGGTCTTTATAAGGTGGCTGGCGATCATATGGAGTAGTCATCAAGTTCCTGTGTCTTGTTCTCTGTTTAGTAGACTAAGCAATTCAGTTTTAAAATATATTTGAAGGTAATTGTGCTCCAGGGAAATGATGTGCATTATCGAAATTTATAGGATGTTGATATAATAACATGAATATAATTGATCAATTTACAAAAAGAAATATAACCTTCAAAAATAATATTTATTTATGTTTAGTAACCCATTCAAGCACTTTATATGGATTATCTCATGCAATGTATTAGTTCTATTACCATCTGAGTATAGGGTTAGTGAATTTAAGTTCACTAAGCTTCTAAGCTTAGTGAATTTAAGTCACACTGCTAATAAATGATGGAACTAGAATTCAGATACAGGTAGTTGGATTCCAGAGACCATATTCTTAACAACAGGGAGACTGGATTCTTAGGTTCACTGATCAATTTATCACATCCTTTACAATTTTTTTTTTCAGAATAAAAAGGTAATATGTATGCATTGTCGAAAACTTAAGACTGTCCAGGGTAATGACATCTATATTCTAATCAGACAGGCATGACCATTGTTAACATTTTGGCATACCTTCTTTATTGCATGTATTGTATAAGTGTAGTTAGCTGACTTCATACTACATAAGCAACATTAAATATTTTTTATGAGGTAATTTCCTCAAGTTGTTAAAAATTCTTTATAAACATAATTTTAATGGTTTTAACTACATATGCGCAATTATCTTTTTAACCATCTCTCAGTGTTGGATTTTAGATTGTTGTCAATTTTTAAAATATAAGTATTGCCACAGTGTCGGTTCTCCCACTGCCGGAGACCGACAAAGCCGGGCTGGAAGAGACCCCGGACCAGCCGGCGGCAACCTCTTATGGGGCTGAGCGGGATGATGAGTGTCGCAGGCCCGATCCCCTCTGCGCTTCGGCCCCGGGGACAAAGAAAGAACACCGAGCCAGGAGAGCGGTCAAAGCCGGAACTCTGTTTATTGCAAGGGTGTTGGAGCTTATATAGAGGGAGAAAGCGGAAGTAGATAGAGAGAGCGGGAAGGGACGGCTGCCCAATCAGGGGAGGCCACGAGTTGGGGGGGTGGGTGATGGCAGAGCGGGAAAAAGTTGCTTAGTCACTGGGCCCCCGGAAGAGAGAGCAATTGACTACGTGCATATCAGCGCTACTGAAATGGCGGCAGTGAACTTGTATTTGCAAAACGGCCGCCGCTTGGTTTATATTAGAAAATAGGAACTACACACAGGCAGACGCCTTATGATGTGCTTGCACCAGAATGTGGCCCAACACCACAGTATCTTTCCATATAAATCTTTATGTTCTGACCTCTCTTGCAAATTAGGTTATGTCAAGAGTTGTAAGGTTGTTGATGTGATTTGACAAATAACTTTCCAAAATCTTTGACCTAATTTACTTCCCCTCCAGTGTGTACCAGTGTTGACTTTACTCTTCTTTCACCAATAGAATTTATTCACATTTTAAACAAATTGGCTAACTAGATATGTGCTCTTTTGTCTTCATGTTATTATTGAGTTTGAACATTAGTAAAATATATACCAGGCATTTACATGTCATATTTTGTGAATTGACCATTCATGTACTTTTTACATTTATCTAAGGTCTTAGTGTTAATTTTCTATTTCTATTCTCTTTGTCATCACACTGTACTATATAAATACTTCCGTCCCCAATATGCATTTGTATACATCAGTCTCCCATTTATCTAAGGTCTTAGTGTTAATTTTCTATTTCTATTCTCTTCGTCATCACACTGTACTATATAAATACTTCCGTCCCCAATATGCATTTGTATACATCAGTCTCTGCTAACTAGACTGTGGTTTCATAAGGGCAGTGGTCTCATTTTATCTGTGAACAGCTCCTAACATATAGTAGAGAAAATGCATACCGTGCTTTGTAAATTCATCCTTAGGATTAAGAGAGATAATGTAAGCAAAGCATCTAAAGCATCGTCTGTCACATAGCAGATGCTCAATAAATTATTTTAAACAAAAGTTTCACTATTGAACTAAAACCACACAATTCCATTTCGGAGTTTAGAAAAACCAAGATTAATACAACTGGAGTTGTAAATTGCAGGTTTAAGATGTGAATCCTGATTGTCAAACCTTTTGCCACAAATTACATGTGACCGGGATGCTCTGTGATATTGTAACTCCTGAAGTTTTTGAAAGACCGGTATGAATTTTGAGCTGTTAAAAATTTTCGGTGACTGATTATCGCCCAGTCTGTAATGATACCCTGATCCCACACAGATGTCTCTTCTTCCCTCATTTAAATGCATAGGAAACTTGCGGTAAAAATAGCAAAGCTCAACAAGCACAAATATACATCACGTAGCATTTCTATTTCTCCATCCGAGGAGTCAGCTTTTGTTTTCATACAAAACAACAAGGGAGGCAGCTGTTCTAGTGGCTATTGTTAGAAAAGCAGAACTAAAGCAACAAGGGAAGGGAAGGGAAGTCATTGCGAACGGCCAGTCGACGGCAGGGCTTGGAGATCGGGGTTGGTTGGGGAGAATTTTTATTGCTGCCGGGTGGGCGGAGTTGACGGGGGGTGTTGCTAAACCAGTTTGAAGCAAAAAAGTGAGGTTTTTGGAGAGGTCAGCCGCGCGGAGAGCAGGCCGGGTCAGCAGCCGGGCAGGCGGGTTTCTCCGGTACGGACAGGAGCGCCGCGCCGGCTCCGCGGATGCAGGAGGCTGGGGCGGAAGAAGCTGCGTCTAGGTCAGCGAAGGGCAGAGGAAGGCGAACACTGACGCAAGTCGCCTCCAGTTCCCGGCTCCAGGGCTTCTAGTGGGAAACAGAGACCCCATCTAAGGCCGAATCTTCCAGCGTCCCCATCACCCCAGAGCCTTCTCAGGCACTTCCGGTAAGGAGCCGGGCGCCCTTGGCCCGGCCCCCGCAAAGCAGCGCGCAGGCGCTCCGGGGCTGGCGGAGGGAGGGGGCGTGTGAGCCGTGCAGCCTCCTCTGCGCCTGCGCCATCTGCTCTGCCCAGGTCAGGACTGGGAAAGAAACCCTGCGCCGGCGTCGTGCACTCCTGGGACTCCTGGCCCGGTTCGCTCTTCGCTTCTGTCCGCGGCGTCGAGCCCCTAGAGAGCTCCGCAGGGGTGTGGGGAGGTAAGAGCTCCCCGTAACAGGCTGTCTTGGCTTCTCACCCCTACTGCCCTCACAGAGGGGGCGGGGAGGCCGCTGGACGCGCCGACCTGGGCTCGGTGTCTGGCCCTCGTCTTACTCTGGGGATGGAGCTTGGGCCCCCGACGCCTTCCTTTTCCGAGCCCCTGAGCTGGTCGGGTAGTCCGGACCTCAAACCTCCCATCTCCTTCCTGGAGCCGGAGGACCGGGCCAGGCCAGGCCGGGAGGGCAATCACGGCGGCTGTTTGCCGGGTCCCACCCTCCCACCCGGGCCGCCCGGAATGCCTGGCGCTTCTGTGGGAGCGACCCCCGGCCTGCCGCGGGTGGAGCGAGAAGTGACCCCAGCGCCTCTGGTCCCGCCTGGGTAAGGGCTGTGACTGTAGGAGGGGACTGTGGTTCCCGAGCAGTTGTAGCCTCTGCGCAGAAAGGGTTCGGTCCCGGCAGACCGATCTGTCATCACTGCCCGTGCTCTCGCAACGCTATTCCCGTACCGATTCATTTTACCGTCATCATAGACCAAAAGGACGCGGTTGTGTTCTTTCCAGCTACCTTTCCTTTAGTACCATCTAAAAGATGACCTTGCTTTTAAATTAACTTATTTGTAGTGCCGTAATTGCAATTATTATATTCCAAACTAAGGATGTACTAGTTAGTTTGTCTTGTGTGGAAATCAGCTCATAAATTTGATATTGTTAATCTTTTTATTTTTAAAAAATAGCCAATTTGTTGATAATCAGATTCCTCCATTTATTCATTTGAACTTGTGGTCTCTAGAGTTGGCAGAAGTTTAATGGTTTGGTCCAGTAGAACTATTTATAATTTTTCACGTAGTTTCTTCCCTTTTTTTTTTCTCCCCTGGATATTAAACTGTATGCTTAGTGACAGAATTTTGAAAAATAGAATAAGAAATAAGAAGTAACCATAATTCCATCATGTAAAGGTAATTAACCTTTGTTAATATTTTGATTTTTTTTCCTTTGAGTCATTTTTTTCTCCTATTCATTTTCTTAATTAAGGTGATATTTTATATACAGTTCGATTGCCTGCTTTTCTTGGCTAAAATGCTATTTTAAACGTTTCCCCATGTTTTTAAAAAGCTTCATAAACGTAACTTTGACTTTTTGATTATACAAGTAGTACATGAGCAAAATATCTCTTGAAACAATTACATTACAGATAAAGCTAAATTTCCGTTTAATTATCATCCCCAATCAGAATGTTACATGATATGCTAGCACCAGAGTTCATTTAATATTATGATTGAGGATAATCACACTTAAAAACTGTTGAGGACCAAGAGTATTTGTTTTCTAATGCAGTATATTTGCCATTTTGCAGATTAAAACCAGAAAATTTAAAATTTTTATTTATTCATTTAAAAATAATAAAACTGTTATGTATTAAATAATTTTTAAGTGAAAAGTAAGTATTTTCTAAAACAGTTTAGTGAGAAGGGTGGTGGTGGTTTGCATTTTTGTAAATCACTTTAGTGTCTGGCTTTATAGAAGACAGCTGGATTCTCACATTTGCTTCTCTGTTCAGTCTGGTGTATTATCTTGTTTAGGCTGAAGCATATAAGAAAAGCTACCCTTGCACAAATACACAGTTGAAAAAGAGAGGACCTCGCAGGCCTATTAACTTCTAGGGGTTCTGAGACCACAGTTTGAGAAAGCTGATTTAACCATTCTTGTATTGATGGGCTGTTAGGTTATTTGCAATTTTATACTATTATAAACGTTGCAACATTGAAAGTTCTTTGCGATGTATTCTTGTGCCCAACTGCTAGTGTTTCTCTAGAAGCTGAATTGCTGGGTCATAGAGTATGTACTTTTTTTTCAATGTCTGATAGACAGAAACATTACTTTTGATATCTATATAGTTTTCTGTTGTGTCCTAATGTTGGTGTTTATTTTTTATTTTAAAAAATTTTTAGATCTTTTTGGTGGCTAGCCAGTAGGGGGATCTGAACCCTTTACTTTGGTGTTATGACACCGCATTCTAACCAACCGAGCTTACCCACCAGCCCAGGTGTTTAGATTCTTTTAACTAATGATTTGGTGAAATATCTTTGTCTGCATGCTTTTAATTCTTTTGGATTATTTTCTTAGACTTCGAAAAAGAGAATTGTTAGATTAAATTTTAGGAATCTTTTTGAGGCTATTGATACAGTTCATATCTTCATGTTGTTTTCCTGAGACAATGTACCAGTTTACTTCCTGTCAGCACTGTCTGAGATGCATTTTTCAAAACTCACACACTAACATTGAGTGCTTTTATTATTTAAAGAAACTATGTTTCGATTTAGTAGGCAGTAAATGTTATGTGTTCTAATTCTCATTACTTTTAAAGTGCATTGAACATTTTTTCATAACTTATTAGTTGTCGATATTATTTGCCCATTTATATGTCCAAGTGTTTTTCTAACAGATTTTTCTTCTTTTTTTATATATTGTAAGGATACATCCTATAATATTTTTTTAGGAAAAGAACAAAATTATCTTCTTTTTCCTATTTATAAAAGTGCATGCTTGTTAAAAAAGTAAAATAGCATAAAGACATATAATGTAGCTCTGAAAGGTTTACATGATCCCATTCCCACATTTATAGTATTATTAACAATTTGATGTTTGTTCCCCCCCCCTTTTTTTACTGTGCCTTTGCTAATGCTCTTTTTTTTTTTACAACTTGTTTGTAAAAATGGGTTTATACTATGCATAAAGTTTTGCAATTTGATTTTCGTTTAACATTATATTTTTGATATTTTTCTATAGAAGTACATAAAACTCTGGGCAAAGTTTTATCCAGAGTGATTTCAGGAACATGAATTGTTATCTTTAGTTATCTGATATCAGGCTCCTGTCCTCTTCTATATTCTCTTCCTAGGTGATCTCATCCATTAGCAGCTGTGTGTTGCCAATTCCCAATTCTTTATCTGTCTCAGACTTCTCTCCTGCATTCCAGATCCTTCTATTCAACTGCCTATTGGATACCTCTTCCAGGATGTTCTCAAGGTACTTAAAACAGCAGTCCAAAAGTGAATTCATGTTTTCCTTTAATCCTCCTCTTCTTTGTGTTGCCTGTCATGGTCAGTGGTATCACCATCTACCCAGTCACCCATGGTGGAAACCTGGCAGTAATCCTAGCTTTCTCCCTTGCTTTTACTCTCCAAATGTTCTCATTCTTTAGACACTTTTATATCTATTTCCTTTTCTTTGCCACTGCACTGTCCCAGCTCAGGCCCTCATCTCTCACCTTAACCATTTTAGGAGTCTCCTTACTGGTTTTCTCAGTTTTCTGATTAATCTTCTATGTTGCTGCCAGTTTTTTTTTTAATTATGAAGGTATCTTTTTAAACCTTTTTTTTTTTTTGGTAAAGTAAGTAGTGTAAAGAGTTGTTTGTAAATCTGAAAGTACATAAATGGTCAAGTGAATAAAAATATTACCTAAAACAAGTTATCATATATACCCATAAGCAAACTTTTTTAGAAGAGGGAATATGTCTTACATTTCTTTTGTGTCTTCTACTGCATGTAGTAGATTGCTGGCACAAAAAATACATCTTGGTTGATTGAAATGGGAGATATAGTAGCTTAATAAGAGTTCATGTTAAATGGTTTCAATATAGTAGAGTTGACCCTTAAGTAACGCAGGGGTCAAAAATCCACATATAACTTTCCCCACATTATTACTTAAGTAGTTGGCCCTGTGAACTCGGCACATAAAGTTGGCACTTGGTTTAAGTAGGATGGAGAGGCTACTGGAGAGTGGGATTCAGAAATAAGAAGAATTGGGTCAGAGGACTGATACTTTCATTAGAAGCTTTGTGGTAGTATTTGACTCTTTAAATTATGTATAGGTATCCCTTTAAAAAACATTAAATTAAAAATAAATACAATAGTCAAAAGTAGCAAAAGCAACTTTGAATATAGGATATATTTTAAAAAATAAAGCACAGGAACTGATTTTCTTTAATTAAATATAAATAAACGAATTCATTAAATGTCTATTTTTAGAGCAATGTACTACTAAGCATTATGTTACTTGAAGTGCCTAGAAAGATAATAAAAGGTGAGACAATAATAATATTATTCAATAGTTTGTAAAGGTATGACACTGCAAATACAGTTGATCCTTGAACAACATGGATTCTGCATCCGTGGATTTAACCAACTGCAAAAGGATATTTGTGGATGCTGAACCCACCTATACGGAGGGCTGACTTTTCATATTATGAGGGTTCCTCAGGGCCAACTATGGGACTTGAGCATATGTGCATTTTGTATATACAGGGGTCCTGAACCAATGCCTGGCGTTTACAGGGCTGACTGTATAGTGTGATGTTATTTTCTTATATAATTATTTGTTTTTCCTAGAGCTAATAATTATCTTAATTCTTTTGTATATCTACCTTTCACGTATCTTTATAACTGTATGTTTTATCTTTGGTGCTCATTATGTGATCTATTAACCCCTCAGACAATGTCAGTCTCCTCTTAATAGATTCAGACAGATCAGATAATCAGTTTATTTTGCAGCATCTTTCCTGTAATGGTCTGTCACTTGCTTTCATCTTGATGGGTTGCTGTCTAGGCTTGTTGTACAGATATCTTTGTGGAACATCCTTTTACGATCATCTGTGAATTCCATTTGTCTCTCTCCTGTGTTAGGTAGCCTGTTACCTGTATTTCACTTTGTCTTCTTTCTTGGTGTCTCCCTCAAGTTGGTAAGGCACATCTTTCAGTAGCTTCTTGAGAAAGACTGAATGGGAGGCAAATTTTTGGGGTGTTTGCATGCCTACACATTTTTTTATTCAACACTTAACACTTGATTGATAGCTTTGGCGTATAGAATTCTAGGTTGTAAATCATTTAGAATTTTGGAGGCATGGCTCCATTGTTTTCTAACTTGTAGTGTTGCTACTGTGATGTCTAGTGCCAGATAAGATAACCAGTACTTTGACTGTGACCTGTTATTTCTCTCTGGAAGCTTTTGTATTTACTTGACAAGTATGTGTTGAGCACATTTTATGTGCCAGGCACTTTGAATAGGTGGGTGAACAAAAATACAAGATTCCTGCCCTCATGGAGCTTAAACTCAGGGAGGGAGGGAGTTGTTCCAGAGGGTAAACAATGAATGCAATAAATAAAGTATACAGAATGTTAGAAGCTCATAAAAGTAAATAAGTGCTTTGGAAAAGAGAAAAAGAAGAGCAGGATGGGGTGGAGAGTTCAGGAGAGTTGATGAAATGAAAAATGGGGGATGGAGATTGCAGTATTAAATGGGGTGATCTTTCTTTAGACCACCCAGATATTCTGAAATTTCACAGTGATGTAGGTTGATAAGGGTTTTTCATTCATGTGTTGGGCCCTAAATGGGCCGTTTCCATATGAAGACTATATATCCTTCAGTTCTGGGGTATTTTATTTGACAGTTTCTTCTTTTTAACCTCTTACTTTCTATCTGGACCTCTTGTTATTTGAATATCGGACCAGAATAGATTGATTCTCTAATTTTCTAATCTTTTCTCTCCTATTTACCATCCTTTTTTTTTTTCTTTTTTTTTTTTTTTGGTTCTACTTTCTAGGGTATTTTCTCAACTTTTTTTTTAATACCTTGGTTGCATTTTTTAAAATTAACTTTTTTATTTTAGTACAGGATTATTGCAGATAGTACAAAGAGTTTCCACATACCACATACCCAGTTTATTTTTAACATCTTACATTAATATGGTACATTTGTAATGATTAGGGAACGAATATTGATAAATCATTATTAACTAAAGTTCATACTTAATTCACATTTCCTTTTCCCTTGTATGCTTTTTCTGTTCCAGGATTCTATCCAGGATACCATATTACATTGAGTAGTCATGTCTTCTTAGGTATCTCTCAATTATGACAGTTTCTCAGACATTTCTTGTTATTGATGCCCTTGACATTATTGAGGATTACTGTCAAGTATTTTGTAGAATGTCACTTGGGATTTGTCTCATGTTTTTCTCATGTTAGATTGGGGTAATGTGTTTTGGGGAGGAAGACAACAGAGATAAAGTACCATTCTCATCACATCATATCAAGGGTACAAACTGTCAGCATGACTTATTGCTTTTGGTTAACCTTGATCACCTGGCTAATTGGTCAGGTTTCTCCACTGAAAAGTTATTTCTTTTTTCCTCCCTTTTTGTACTTTATAGAAGAATGTCACTATGTGCAGCAGGCACTTAAGGAATGAGGAGTTCCAATTCCTTGAGAGCAAATAATCTACATTAATTACTTGGAATTTTTTTTGCATGGGAGATTTGTCTTCACCATTTATTTATTCAATCACATGTCAGTATGAGCAGTTTTTAAAAATATTTGGGGTTATAGTTCAGTACTACTCTATTTATTTTGCTGCTCAAATTGTTCCAGCTTTGGCTATTGGGCACCCTTTCTCTTGGCTCCTGTATCCCTTTGCATACTCCCATTATTGTGTGTGTGTGCGCATGCACTTTCTTACTTTCTGGCATTACGAGATATTCCATGCTCATCTTGTTTATTTCCTGCCCCAGTCCTAGAATCAGCCATTTCTCCAACGCACCCTGGTTCCTTTTGTTGGTGAATGATATTAGAAACCAACATCTGGGTGCTCAGTATGCTTGTTGCCACTGGCATATCATTGCTTCTAGGCCTTTTCAGCTGACAGAGCAAGGAAATGTGTTTATACTAACCTGTATTACACATACCTGTAAATGTTTCTATGTGTAACCATCAGTATCCATATTAAACTAAACATAAGTTTATATTTATGTCTCCAGCTCAAATCCATTACCACATAGATTATTCTAGCCCTCTTCCCTTGCTTATCTGTAACCTTCAATATTGAGAAACCTGGTTCCCACCATCTGCCATCCATTTACTTAATTGTTCAATTTCATTGGTTTCAGAATTGTTAACCTGTGACTCCATGGAAAACAACTTTATCAACTAGAGTACGGTGCTTGTGTTCCTTTTGCCTTTAGTCTTACAGACTCCATTTATTTCCAAAGGTCAGAACCTTATTTTTCCACCACCTGTAGTGAGGTTGTTTTGTACATTTGGAATACATTTAGACTCTTGTCACATTCTGCGTTATATTCTGAAATCCCCTAACCTCCTAAATAATTTTTTTCAAAATTTGTGTACATTGAGGTTTATTCTTTATGCTGTAAAGGTCTATGGGCATTGACAGATGCTTATTGTCCTGTATTTACCATTACTGTATCATACAGAATAGTTTTGCCACTGTAAAAAATTTACTGTGCTTCACCTGTTCAACTCTCCCCCACCCCCAAACCACTGACAATCATAGGTATGTTTACTGTCTCTGTAGTTTTGCCTTTTCCAGAATGTCATATAATTGGAATCATAAGGTATGTAGATTCTTTCACTTAGCATTATATATTTAAGATTTATTGTGGATGATATCAACATTGATAAAGCAAATGTATTTCACAGGACCTAACTTTTTAGAATTGCACATAGAAATGTTAAGCTTGGGAAAGACAGAAAACTTTCTCCAGGCTAAAGTCTCTGTCATAGATAAAGAATTGTAACACAGCAAAAATGCTGGCTCTAAGGGCAGATGTCCTTGGGTGCAGCTAAACCTAATGATTGTTGCCATGACAAATATCTTACTGTTCTTTTTGTAACCACCTATGTTCCTTTTCTGTAACTTTCTTGCCCAGAGAATAAAAACAGAGAGAAAACCAGATTTCAGGGCTATTCCCGGGATCTTTCTTCTCTTGAAAGAATTATTCCTGGGGGTAACCTTTTTCGGGCCTCTTACTGCTCAGAAGAAATGGGCTTTAAGTAATCCTTTGTGTCTCTGTCATGAGAAGTGACAATTTATCCTTGTCAATTTGTAGCTTGATAGCTCATTTCTTTATGTCACTGAATAATATTTCATTGTATGGATGTACCATTGTTTATCTGTATACCTACTGAAGGACATATTGATTGCTGGGTCATATAGTAAAACTGTGTTTAGTTTTGTAAGGCACTGCCAGTCAGTCTTCTAAAGTGCAAACAGTGCCCACCAGCAACACAAGTAAATGTGAGTCTGTTATTTGACATCCTTACAGCCTTTGGCATTGTTAATTTTTTGGATTTTAGACATTCTAATAGTTATGAAGTGCTATCGTTTTAATATGCAGTTCCCTAAAGACAAATGATGTTGAGCATTTTTTCATATTCTTATTTGCCATCTGTACATCTTTGCTGAGGTGTCTGCTCAGAACTTTTGCCCATTTTTTAATTGGATTGTTTTCTTATTGTTGAATTTTAGGATTTCTTGTAGATTTTGGATAAAGTCCTTTATCAGATACGTATTTTACAACTATCTCCCAGTCTATGACTTGTCTTCTCATTCTCTTAACAGTATCTTTTGCAGAACATAAGTTTTTAACAAGGTCTGACTTGCCAATTTTTTTCTTTCATAGACCATGGCACTGGTGTTGTACTTAATTTAAGTTATGGGTTATGTAGATTATGGTTGATTAAGGTTATGTAGATTTTCTCATATGTTTTCTTCAAGAAGTTTTACAATTTTGCATTTTACATTTAGGTCTATTATCTATTTTGAATATACCTTTATGTAAGGTGTAAGGTCTGTATCTAGATTAATATTTTTGTATAGGGATGTCCAGTTTTTTCCAGCACCCATTGTTGAAAAGGCTGTCCTTTCTTCATTGAATTGCCTTTTCTCCTTTGTCAAAGATAGTTGACGATATTTGTGTGGGTCTATTTCTGGAGTCTTTATTCTGTTCTGTTGATCTGTGTGTCTTTTCTTTTGCCAATACCACATTGCCTGATTACTGTAGCTTTCTTGTACATCTTAAAAATCAGGTAGTGAGAGTCTTCCAACTTTATTGTTATTCAGTATTGTGTTCGCTATTCTAGGTCCTTGGCCTTTTCATGTAATCTTTAGAATCAGTTTCTTGAGACCTACAAAATAGCTTGTAGGATTTTGGTTGGGATTTCACTGAATCTGGAGATCAGATTGGGAAGAATTGACATCTTAATTTGAGTCTATCTATCTATGAACATGGACTATGTTTCCATTTGTTTAGATTTTCTTTCTTTTTTTTATATTAATGTTTTGTAGTTTTGCACATATAGATCCTGTATATATTTTGTTTGTGTCTAAGTAATTCATTTTTAGGTGCTATTTTAAATGATATTTTAAAATTTCAAATTCCAATTGTCCATTTTCATATATAGGAATATGAGTGACTTTTGTTCATTGACCTGATAGCCTGCAACCTTGCTGTACTCAATCCATTTTGGGGTTTTTTGGTCAATTTTAGGGGATTTTGTATGTAGAAAATCATGTCATTGCCAATAGAGACAGTTTTCTTTCTTTCTTTCCAAACAGTATACCTTTTATTTCCTTTTGTCTTATTGCACTAGCTAGGATTTTCAGTATCACATTGAATTGAAGTGGTGAGAGAAGACATCCTTTCTTTAATCCCAATCTTTGAGGGAAGGCAGTTTCTCATCATGAAGTATACCTCTACTCATAATTTGCTGAGAATTTTTATCATTAATAGGTATTGGGTGTTGTCAAATCCTTTTTTGCATCAGTTGATATGATTATACGATAATTCTTCTTTGATTTGTTGATGTGGTGGATTACATTGGTTAATTTTCAAATGTGGAACCAGCCTGGCATACCTGGATAAATCCCATTTGGTGATGAGATTATATGTAGTATTTTAATTTATACATAGTATATTTTATATTATTTTATATGTAGTATTTATAAGTATTTTTAGTTTTCCATCATGAATTATTCTTTTTTTTTTTTTTTTCCTTTTTGTCTTTTTTTCATGTCTGGCAACGGATCGCAACCCTCAGTGTTGCGCCCGTACCGGACCGGCAATGGGATCGCAACCCTCGGTGCCGCGCCCGCACCTTGCTCAGCCAGTGAGCGGGAACCGGTCTGTATGTGGGATCCGAACCCTCGGCGGGAGCACCGCCACACTCCCAAGCGGCGCACTGTAGCAGTGCGCCACCGGGCCGGCCCATGAATTCTTCTTTGACCCATGAGTTATTTAGATGTGTTTTAAAATTTATTTTTGTATGCAAATGGTATGTTGTTAGAGTTGGTTTTCATATAATTTTATATAGAGAGGCAATTTCCTCAACTAAAATTGTAGATTCCTCAAAGTAGTACTCATTAAATTTTATTTCTATGTCTATTTCCTGACTATGTTTTCTAGCATGAACTAGAAGGTACAATATTAATATCTTAGAGGATTAAATGAAATATCTTACTTTTTATTTTCTAGACATACAAGAATTAAATTCTAAGTAAGTCTACGGATAGGATGGACAGTTATTTTAAAGCAGCTGTCAGTGACTTGGACAAACTCCTTGATGATTTTGAACAGAACCCAGGTTTGTTGGTTTTCCATTTTTGCCATTGATGGAATTTTAAAATATCTGTAATTCAGTTATCTCAGGTATAGAGTACTCTTAGGAAAATTTGATATCAATTTTGGTCACATTGTTATCTTCTGTAAAAAGTTCACTTATTATTAGTTTATTCATTACCAGCCAGAAATAAAAGTAAGGCAACTAGACATTAGATTTCAGATACAAATTTAGCTGCAAAAAAGAACTTTTAAGCCAACATATGAGCAAGCTTAAAGCATCTTGAAAGCTCTACATAAATTGATATTTTATTACTATGAGAGATGGTATTTTCCTCAGATGAAACTAGAGGGCAGAAACCAACATATGAGCAAGCTTAAAGCATCTTGAAAGCTCTACTTAAATTGATATTTTATTACTATGAGAGATGGTATTTTCCTCAGATGAAACTAGAGGGCAGAAGAAAGAAGTTAAATTGTTTTTTCAGCTCTTTCTTAATCTGGTTGTTATAGTGCAACTGAGTTATTTTGAATGGAATTTCTATCATTTTATGACATCTCATTTAAAAGTAAAAACCAGAAAGTACTTTAAAGGCAAATAAAAATAGTTTTAAAGGCTATTACCATTTTGTAAAAGGGTAATCTATCTATGGTCCTTTAAAAAGGTTTATTTAGTTTAGAAGTCTAAGAAAATGTAATATCTTTACAATAACTTTAATTTAATTTGGGTCTCCTGAATATCATTGTGTCTATTTTTAATTAGATGAACAAGATTATCTCCAAGATGCACAAAATGCACATGATTCTAACCACCGTTCAGTTTCTTTAGAGTTGGCTTCCTCACAGCTAACTTCACTGCTACCAAAGGACCAACAATACATTAATAGTTGTGCCTCATCAGAAACATGCTCTGAAACAAATGAGATTTCCCTGAATGAAAAAACACTTGAGGGACTAACTTCTATACAAAATGGAAAAAATGTAACAGGACTTGATCTCCTTTCTTCCGTGGATGGTGATAATTCAAACGAAATCCAGCCTTTATATATGGGACGATGTAGTAAACCTGTCTGTGATTTGATAAGTGACATGGGTAACTTAGTTCATGCAACTAATAGTGAAGAAGATATTAAAAAATTATTGCCAGATGATTTTAAGTCTAGTGCAGATTCTTTGATTGGATTGGATTTATCTTCTGTGTCAAATACTCTCTGTGTTTCTCCGACAAACCACGGTAGTGATACTGTCAGAGAAGAACAGAATGATGTCAACTCTGAACTAAAAAATAGAGAAATTAGTGAAACCAAAGCATTGGGTGTAAAAATAGACACAACACTTTCAGATTCTTGTAATTACAGCAAAACAGAAAATGTAAAGGATAAAAAGATCTTTAACAAGTTAGAACCAGTTGTTGATTTTAACATGTCATCTGCTTTGACTCAGCAAAGTTCCAAAATGTTTGATGTCAAAAATAACCTACAACACAAGAGCCAGCCATGTGAATTATTTAAAGATGATGACTGTTTGGTAAAAGAGGAGGTAGATGTGGCTGTCAAAACTGCCACAGAATGTTTAAGAGAAGGAGGCAGCACAAGTGCTTTGCCTCATGGTCTTCCAAAAAGTGAAGGTTTATACTTAAATGATTCAAATTCAAAGGATGAAAATTTCAGATTACCTGACTTTTCCTTTGAGGAAGATAGGACTGCTGTATTTATAAAACAATCTGCAAAAGACTCAAGAAATTTAGACCTTAAAGATAATGATACAAGCCAAGATTCCTCTTCAACTTTATGTGTTTCAAGTGAAGATACACACTCCTCATTGTCCTGTCTTCCACTATCTGGGTCTTTCTGTGGATCATTAATTGAAAGTAAAGCACATGGTGTTTGTTTTCCTCAGAATGAACAGAAAGATAATATACAAGATGCAGTGACTATGCATGAAGAAATACAGAAGAGTGTTATTCTAGGTGGGGAACCATCCAAGGAGACTGATCTTTCAAAACAGGAAAAATGTAAAGACATACTTCAGCCATTAATTGAAAAGATGGGAGATAGAAAGGTAGATTCTGACCAGGCAGTTATCAGAGTTGAATCTTTGGATTACCCTGATGACACCAATTCTTCTATAGCTGCAGAATCTCAAACAGAGCTTTCTGGTGCTAATGCCCCAGAGTCTCCAGATTGTTGCAGAGGTCTAACTTTTTCAAGCAACAGTGTGAATGGGAAAGACTTAGATTACTTTAATATCGATGAAGGCATGAAAACTGGCACACTAATTAGTGATGCTGAACTTGATGCCTTTCTGACGGAACAGTACCTTCAGACCACTAACATAAAGTCTTTTGAAGAAAATGTTAATGACTCAAAATCTCAAATGAATCTAATAGATACAAAAGGCTTAAATGACGGAAACATCAATAATATGTATTTCAATGCTGAAGCAGGAGCTACTGCAGAAAGTCATGGAATTAATGTGATATGTGGAACAGTTGATAAACAAAATACAGTAGAAAAAGGTGGCCTTTCATTAGGTGAAGAAAGCACAATTCCAGTTGAACAAGAGTTACCTACCAGTAAGCCTGAGATTACAAATGAATTACTAGTCTCTGATATTGACAGTCAATCTGTTCATGTTGGAGGGGCCAGACCTAAGCAATTGTTTAATCTTCCATCAAGAAGGAGGAGTTCAAAGGAACTAAATAAACTGGATGTTCCAAATATGCCAGAAAGTGAGCCCAGCATAGCGAATACCATTGCTCCAACCACTTGTACTACAGATTCTGTAACTGATTCTCAGGTTAGCTTTAACTCTAATTACATTGATATAGAAAGTAATTTTGAAGGTGGATCCAGTTTTGTAACTGCAAACGAAGATTCTCTACCTGAAAACACTTGCAAGGAAGCCTTGGTTTTGGGCCAGAAACAACCTACTTGGGTTCCTGATTCAAAAGCTCCAAACTGTATGAACTGCCAAGTTAAATTTACTTTTACAAAACGGCGACACCACTGCCGAGCATGTGGAAAAGTAAGTTATAAAAATCTTTAAGTCTTTTATTCTTCTGAGACATTTTAAATGAAATCTAATGTGACAGAAAAGGCTAATTAACAGATGATTACAAGATTGAGTTAGTTTAAAATCAGCGTTTTTCACCTACCAGTCATTAAACTGTACAATATAAAGCACTGTCATTTTGCTTGATGGTTGAATAAATGTCACAATATTGTGGATATTATTAATTACTTGCTGATAAGTGAGAAACATTTAATTACTAATTTTTGTGAAATTTAAGAGTACATGTCCTTATCCCTCTAATATTCACACATCAGATGCTCCAAATTTAGTTGGATCACTCTTTGTTCTTGATTATTTATTAGCAAGACTACTCTGCAGCTAGTGTTGTGATCGATGCCCAGGGAAACACTGAAAAGCAACTTGGCTTGCACAAAGCTCAGAATACTGAAGCTGACCTCATTTGCATTTTGACTATTTTATAACAAAGGGTAAAAAGATCATCTATAAACTCCAAGGATTGCCTACAGAAATAACATTGCATTTTTTATTCAGCATTTTTCAGTAATATGTTGGATTCAAATCAATCCTACCCATTTTTAACAAAACAAGATTCTACTTTTAAAAGCTTTAAATAAGGAACTACAAAAAGCTTTTTAAATTATAAACTTATTCATTAAAGAAAGTTTTTTCCAATTAACAGAGTTGATTTAAAGGAATTCTTCTTATAAGAGATATGGTTTTAAATTACAGAAGCCTCACTTAAGTGAAAAAAGAGAATCATTTAAGAATGCTACTTATGATTATGGTGATTAGAAAAATGACATATATAAGGAAAATGGGTTTCGGTTAATTAGGTTTGGGGCCTCTCCTCCCCCTGCCTCTAGTAGTTATAAGTATGATTGAAACAAAAATGAATTTGGTATTTTATTCTTTATAGGTATTTTGTGGTGTCTGTTGTAATAGGAAGTGTAAACTGCAGTACTTAGAAAAGGAAGCAAGAGTATGTGTAGTCTGCTATGAGACCATTAGTAAAGGTGAGTATTACCTGACATATTTTCTTACAGTAATTGAATATATCTTAAAAACAAGTGGATTGTGACAAAGATAAACTTCTTTATTTTCTTAAGGCAAAGACCTAGTGTTGACTTATCTGGCTTAGGTGAGACATCCCAAGGCTTGGTTTCTCTTCTTTTTGTTCCACTCTCACAATTAATACTACCAGTCTGGAAAGGAAGCATTCAATTTCTGGAGTGGCAGTTCATTAACTTTTAACAGGTACCAAGTCCCTAAATGCTGCATTTCATCTGCCTATTTGTTTTTGTCATCATCATTGTCATCTTCACCATCTTAATCTGAACATTTATAGAATACCTACCAATAAAATAGTACTCAATATTATATATCAATTGCATAAGGCAAGATATAGTTACCACCCTTTAGAAAATAGCATCCTAAAATGAGGATAAAAGATAAGGTAATAATATTTATGATTTTATACATTCATAGGACTGCCACACTGCATATTTTTATCTTGTATTTTTTTTTTCCCCTTCTCAATTTAAATTTTGTGTGTGTGCGCTTCTCATTGTTTCTCTGGCTCTCTAGCTAGCTACCATTATCAGCAATAGTCTTGATGGTCGTCTTTAAGTTCTCACATGTTGTGTGTGTATAGATGTGTGTTTTATGTTGGGTTTTCTCCCCCAAATACATGTTTGGTCTTTTGAGTATTTCTTGGCATTTTCAAAGATTCGTTGACAGTTTAATTCCCAGCAAATTTTACTTGGGCTTTGAACAGACCTGCACACTAGCTCAGGCACTGCTTCCTGTTAGCCAGGAAAATAAATACCTGATAATAATTTGTTTTTCTCTTTTGAATGAAGATAAATTTTTTCAGCAATTCTCCAAAAAGCTCTGATGTGAGTCTGTTAGCCTGAGGTAAGCTGTTTTACTCTGTGCTGTTGACCTCTGCTCTGGAAGATAATAGAGTGTAAATCTTTTTATATTTCTGTGTTACCACCATTGTTTATGAAGAGGTTAGTTTATATGCTTACAGTTGTTTTGCTCTTTTTTAAAGCTGTTTTAGTGGCTAGAAGATGGCTGCTGGTGCCAAGGCAAATTGCTAAAATTCTGAAATTTTAGAGCAAGCTCCCACATAATTATCTCCCCCACCTTTTTATTAAAAAATAAAACAGTCATGAAGATTTGAAACGTTATTTGAGTTGACAGGTCAGATTTTTGGGTGAGCATTCAGACATATTCGGACTATAAGTGTCCAAGAGGGGAGAAGATATGGTCATTAAACAGACTCAGTTGGATACTGAGATCAAGCTTTGGTTTATCAAAGAAAATACTGTGGAATAAGTTTATTTACTGTTCTGTTTTATTTATTCTATTTTTATTTCTTATACTATACAGCTTTGTTTATAGTGCTATTTATCATTAGCTTATATACCACAAGAAAGCATAAATAAAAGTTAGTTTAATATCAGCTTTAGGGTTGAAAATGAGAGAAGTGATCATTTAAAATAATGTTATTAAATAAGAGGAGAAAGATAGTTCAAGGGTTGTGAGACACATGCCATGAAGTAATGGAAGAAAAAGATGGTTTGAATAGAGATTGTGGCTAATGAGAAAGTTGTACTGAGATTGTATGACTTTCAAAGAAGCATGTGAATGTCAGTAGATATATTTGGGGCAAGTTGGAAATTACTTTGAAACCCAGAGTAAGATGTTTATATTTCACTTGATTAGTGGAAGCCATTTCATAAGAGTGCTATCATTTAGTGGCACTTGAAGAAGATTATTTTGGCAGTGGCAGCATTGATAGCAGATCAATTTGGAAAAATGCTGAAGGAAGATTTATCAGTGCTATTCCATGTTTTCGGGATGAAAATCATTTAGCAATATTCAGGCACTGTTCTTCATTCTGGAGCTCCATCTGGGAACAAAATAGATGCCCTATTCTTGTGAAGCTTACAAATGTGGGGAGAAATGGATAATAAGCAAAGAAAATACCGGATGTTGATAGTACTCTAAATGGAAATGAAAAAGTGTAAGAGGGATAGATAGTAACAGATTAGTGGTAAGAGACAATATTTTTTGTAAGGTGGTCAGAGTAAGGCTTTATAATAATACGACATGTGAACAGAGACTTGAAGGAAGTGAGAGAATAAAGCTGTGTGAGTATCTTTGGGAAGAACATTCTAGTCAGAAGGAATAATAAGAACAAAGACGCTAAGCTAGGGGAGTCATTGCTTAACTTGTTGAAGAACAAGGGGGCCTGGCTGGCTGGATCATAGTGAGTGAGTGCGATTGTAGTGAGAAATGAGGTCAAACAGGTAACTGGGAAGGTGGAGGAAGTAGGCATGCAGACTATGTAGGGTCTTGTGAGCCACTGTAACAACTTAAATTTTCCCTCCTGTCAGGAAGCCATTAAAGGATTTTAAACAGAGGAATGATGAGATATGATTTATGTCTAGAAGAATTACTCTGAACTATGTTGGAAATAGAGGTACAAGGGCAAAAACAGAGACAGTCATATTAAGTAAGGATTATTTTCTGCAATAGATATCAAACATATGCCAAATATAATATTGAAGTAATTCATTGGTAGCTTATCAAAGTGGAGTGCTGTCAACTAAAGTTAGGAGTCTGTGCTAGTTACTCAGACAGTATCTTTGCCAAGTGCCACTTCTTTTTCTTAATCAGCCATTTATTTTTCTCCTTATAACTTTAAAATGAGACTTTATTGTAATTTACTTTGAAGTTCAAAAATAGCTAAGATTTTAATACTATTATTTCCCCCTTTATAGCTCAGGCATTTGAGAGGATGATGAGTCCAACTGGTTCTAATCTTAAATCTAATCATTCTGATGAATGTGGTACTGTCCAGCCTCTTCAGGAGACCCAAACATCCAGTATACCTTCACCCACAACTTTGCCAATCTCAGCACTTAAGCAACCAAGTGTTGAAGGTAACTAGAAGAAAATGCCTTGTCTTAAACTAAAGATAAATTATTAAAATGGGAATTACCTAGTGTAGTCAGAGTCTAGTCAGGTAAGAGAAACCAGACAAGATACTAGGAGGGATTTAATATAAGCAATTGGTTGCACATGTATGTTGGAAGACTGGAAGAGTAACAAGGGCATGTGAGAGATTAGTAACTGCAGGAAGCAATCACCACCAGTAGGGTTGGGGGAACAAAACGGGAGAAGCATAACTAGAACTCAGTGCAGGGGCACCAGGAGGGGCTTGGTTTTCAGACCTAGGAGCCAGGGGTTAGAGTACCACATGGCTGGTGCTGTGACCTCTGGGGAATCACTGACTGGCAAATGCTGGAATCATCAATGGGCCTCCTAGAGTTGTGCTCAGATGACTGAAGAAGAGTTCCAGGGTTAATGTTAGGAGTACTGAAAATCATAGGACATGCAGCTAAATCCAGTCGTGCTGCTGCTGCAATGATCCTGGCAGGAACTAGGAACAGAAAGAATTCTTTCTTTTTTTCCCCCGCTTTCTGGTCTCCCACCGGTGCCTACTATTGGCAAAACATTACCAAAACCAGCTAGCAAGGAAGCTTGGGAATTGCACTTTCCAGACTTCCAGCCTGGCATTAACAAGAACCATGTAGAAGGGTGGGCTTGGATTTGAGAGATAATAGGTAAATAATTGATGTATCTCCTTTTCCTTAAAAATCTATTTTTAGGGCCAGCCCCGTGGCTTACTTGGGAGAGTGCAGAGCTGGTAGCGCCAAGGCCATGGTTTCGATCCTATATAGGGATGGCCGGCCGTGGGTTCGATCCTATAAAGGGGTGGCCAGTGCGTTCACTGGCTGAGCGTGGTGCAGACAGCACCAAGCCACAGGTTCCAATCCCCTTACTGGTAAAAAAAAAAAAAAAAAAAAAAAACTATTTTTAATTGTATATTTTCCCACAATGATAAAATGCTTTTTAAATCCATTTTTAAATCCCTGAGTTATATCTTCATCTTTATAACCTATCATCATTTAGGATCTTGCGTAAAGCCCATGTACATTTTGAAACATGAACTATTAGTCTGTAGCATGCTAGAATAACTGTAAATGTCAGTTAAAGGTAAACTTGGATCCTTCTGAGAATTATTTTGGCCCATAGTTTATCACTCAGTAGCTATTTTCCATTTATTATAATTGAACTAAGGGGATTCAGCATATATGATTGTATGTTATTGCTCTAAAAGTGAATAAATTTGTGTTTTAAAATATTTACATATTCTTATATTGGCAAACTAAATTACTATAAAAATGTTGCAAATACAGGAAAGATAGATTATATAATAATGTCCACTCATATTGCAGAAATATTCATATGATTCCAATTTCTTAAATATTATCTCTGTTGTGTTCTGGAAGGGTAGATGTAGAACTTTTGAGTTTTTCATATCGTTCTAAAATCATCTGGCACAGATTTTCACAACCTTCCTCTGTGGATGCTTTATAACAAAAGAAAATATCTAGTTATTTCTTCCAAATTTGGGAGGAAATATTAATATTAATAAAGTTCAGTATCCACAGTATAAGAACAAAAACATGTTATGCTCTCTTGTTAAATAAAAGTAAGAAATGATCTCTGATGCATAAGTGATCCTGTTTCCTTTTATTAGTCTTTTTATCTCTTTCTGTTCTTCATGTTTTTATTACCTTCCATGCTGTGATCTACTCCACTTTTTGTCCCTGTGTCTTAAGCTTAAAATTTTATTCAATCTCCACTCCACACTTAGAGACTTAGCCTCAATAATATAGGTTTTAAATCTTCTCCCAGTGTCTTTAAGATGTAATCTCTCCCATTCACTTCAGAGTATGTGATTCCCAGAGCCACCCCTGGTCTAATATGCTCCCTTTGTATGAATTAGATAGAAACAGGCTCTGCTCAGGGTAGATGAATCACAAAAAGACACTTCTCTTGGCCTTTGCAGCTTGAGAGAAAAACCTTTTGAAGACCATTTCCTGACCCATTTGGTATTAAATCATTGCAATATTGCCAAATTATACTGCTTTACTTTTTCATCTGATTCTAGGACTGTGCTCCAAAGAACAGAAGAGAGTATGGTTTGCAGATGGTATATTGCCCAATGGTGAAGTTGCAGATACAACAAAATTATCATGTGGAAGTAAAAGATGTTCTGAAGACTTGAGTCCTCTCTTACCTGATGTGCCTATGGTAAGGAATCTAAAGAATAACTCATTAATTAAGTAAAATCTTATTTTGTAGATAATTCCTTGTATGATTATTAGAGTACATATCTTTTTATCACTTTGAGCTTCCTAAAATAAGAAAAGTATTGATGTAGTGAATATATTTTATATCTTACTCTTTTTAATGTCAGTTTAAGGCAATGGTTCTCAAATTTTTTTGGTCTCAGGACCCCTATATACTCTTAAAAGTTATTAAGAATCTGAAAGAGTTATAGGTTATGTGGGTAATGCCTATTGGTAATTACTGTATTAAAATTAAAATTGAGAAATTTAAATATATTTATTAAAAAATAATAAGCCCATTACATTAATAGAAATAATATTTTTTGTGAAAAATAACTTTTTCAAAACAAAAGTTTAGTGAGAAGAGTGGCATTGTTTTACACTTTTGCAAGTTTCTGTAATGTCTGACTTAATAGAAGATAAGATTCTCACATCTGCTTCTACATTCAGTGTGTCATGATATGTTGTTCAATAAGTCATATGAAGAAAATCCTGGGACCTCACTGACTTCATGAAAGAGTCTTGGGGACTCCAGGGATACCTAGACCACATTTTGAAAACCACTGGTATAGGGACTATAAATGAGATTTAGTAATTTAATTTAGACAAATATTTATTTAATGATTTTCAAACATTCAGGAAAGTGTCTGATGGTGATGTTTATGTTTGCATTTACACAAATGTGATAAGTGTTAAGTAGAAGATACATAATATGGAATCCAGACCATTAAAAACTCTCAATGTAAAGTAGCAAAATACTCTTAAATGTATTAATACACAAATTAGGAATGTTTTATTCATTAAATAAATATTTTTTGAGCATCTACTCTGTGTCAGTCAGCTGGTTGATCCTAGATAAATACATTAGGCTAGATGGATACTTATCTGCTCTGTTGGAGTTCACATATCATATAAACATATCCTATTTGTCAGTTGGAGTTCATGAGCTAGATTTTACAAGTAACCGTAATTACCAAAGATATGTTTCTTACTGCCAACTCTCAATCAATGTTTTAACAAAATGAAAATTCTGAACAGGCTAGTAATATTACTTGAGTTCATAAATGGTTCTCATTTAATATTGATTCTGGTCAGTCTAAAAAGAAAGGAGCTTTGTTGAACCAGACTTGATGAGTAGTTTATTCCAGGTGGTTACAATTTTGGAATACATATATAATACCACTTTGCTTTCTTTTTTTTTTTTTTTTTTTTTTTTTTTTTTTTCCT